GCTTTTATAATCATGAACAAGAAAAAAATGTTTTTATCTTTTCTTAGGTTCACAAACCATACCACCTAGACAGGCTGAAGACTCAGAGGTTTCCTGTTTCTAGTCAAGCAAACAATGAACTCACGTTTTCATATATGAGGCCCAGTAAGAGGCAAAATTATGACTTACCTTTTTTTTCCTTAATAGTTGGGAAACAAGATTACATGAACTCCATTTCTGGGACTATAAAAATAATGCCAAGCAGAGACAAACCAGTAGTAGCAGCTTGGATTCTTGATATCTAAGTTCCTGGAATTTTTTTTTAATTCTCAAAAGATGGTTATTGTATCTTCAGTCTCATACTGCAGCAGTCAAACTTAAATGATGGTACTGTGTATGGTTGATGTTTTTCTCTTAGATTTTCCTACAGCTAATATTTGAAAATTATTTCAATTATGTAATATGAATAAAGAGACCACTGTACTAGGTGCTTCAGAGGAAATATATGAGTAAGATGCATACTCCCCCTACCCCCCCAAGAAATTTACAATCTAATTAGTGCGGATGAGGAGGGCAAAGATATCTGTGATGAAAAAAATCTGTCTTGAAATTAGCAGACCTAGCTCTGCTGTGAGACCTTTGACAAATCACTCAATATTCAATTATTCATTCAAAACAATCATATCTGCTCAGTGCCAGTACTGTTCTAGGCACTAGGGATAGCAAGATATTCAGCCTATGAGGACATAGATACTCAAATAAAGAATTACAGTGCAGTGATGACCAAAGGGAGGGGGGCTGGGAGAATGGGGTGAAGGGTTAAAGAAGTACAAATCAGTAGTTGATAGATGGTCATGGGGATGGGGAGCACAGCGTAGGGATGCAGTGGAGAGCCAGAGAAGAGAAAGAGCAATTGGGGGATCATTTCATAAACTATATAAATGTCTAACCAATATACTGTATACTTGAAATTAATAAAATTAAATTTAAAAAAATAACAATAGAGTATGAAAAAAATGTCATAATAGAGTATGTCTAAGATACCATGGGGAGCACCAGTGGTGGAGGCTGGGGTACAGTCTGGACAGACTTTCTAAAGGAAATGATGAGTAAGTGGATTCGTAAAGAATAAGCAGAATTTTGGCCAGGTATTGAAGTTGGTGAAGAGTGTCTATGTATAAAAATAAAGGTATTTTAAGTTTTTTAAGAAAAATGAAAGGTTTTTGGTGAGAGAGAACACATTAAGCTGTTTAGATTAGGATAGACTTTATTGGCAGGAGGGGTAGAATTCTGACAGGTATATATGGAATATATGGAGAAAGAGAACCACCCAAAAGGCATGCTGGAGGCAAGAATTTACCAGAGCAAAAGCCTAGAGGCAGGTAAGTTCAGTGAATGGTAAGGGAGAGAGAACAGTCCAGCCTATCTACCGCTTAGGTTAAAACAGATAAGGTAATGGGAGACAAGACCAGAAAAGGAGGCTGTGATCACTGTGAGGGGTCCTTTAAATGTCAGGCTGAGGAGTTGGTACTTAATTTGACAGGGAACAGGAAACCACTGTGGGATTCTTAGCAGTAAGTGGCTTATTTAGACGTCAGCTTAATTTAAGGGTTCTAGAAGACTTGTTTGCTATAACAAAACGATCAAGGTTTATGTTTTTTATTGTGATTACCTCTGATTTTAAAACACTGAAGTTAAAAAGCGTAAGATTAGTATTCACAAATATGGAATAAAAATTTATTCCACTGCAGCCAAAATTTCAAAGTCTTACACAGCATATCATGATAGAAGTTCTTTTCAATGACATGATTAAACTTTGTATCCTTTAAAGAACTTATGTTTATTTTACCAAATACCATAAACTAGGTTATTAGGTTGTTTTCCTTAACTTTGAATGTCTGATATGTATGCAAATTCTTGTCTATTAACTCCAAGTTCAACCTTCTGCCTTGTAATGCTAGGATTCAGGCTCTGCAAACCACATTAAGGTTTTGCCAACTGGAAGGGTTGGAAATTTCAGGGTTGGAGAAGGGAGAAGAGAATTGCGTCCTCCTATCTGCATCACTTGACTTTACTGTTTGCTGTTCCTGTGACCATCATCCCAGACTTGCTTCTTCATCTCAGCATCTTCAAGTCCTTCCTGAAGCAGTTAACAGAATCCAGTTTGCAGTTTTTCCATCTTTGCAAGACCAAGCCTCCTTATACGCCCCCTGAAGACAAGGCACCAGCTCTCTAGTGCCCGATCCCCAGATATCAAGGTCTATTAAGCTCAGACACACCAGCACTAGAAGAGGAATGTCCTCTTCCTCAGAGGTCAGCTCCAC